CCCTCATGCCTCGCGGCGGCAAGCGGCGAGGAAGCTACCCGCTCGAAGGGAACGTCAATGCACCAGGCCCTCGGGGGCTCGATCTCCTGCCTCCTCCGTGCGGCCAGCGTGTGCCAGTGGTACTGTGGCACCGAGCACACGCGAAGCCGACAGGCTGGCGACCCCTGCCCGGCTGCAGAAAAGGTTCTGAGTGTTCCGCCTCTGTCTCACGCGCTGTCCGAGCACAACCTACCCTTGTCCGCCTCCCGGCCCTTCATTGGTTGAGGTTAGAACACCTGAGTTCTCATTGGTCTAGCTCAAGGCTCGTCGCTGCTCACTCCCGCCCCTACGCGCCTGCGCGCCTGGACCAACTAGTAGCAAGGTTGTGCGGCGCCTAGGGCCAGTCAAGGGCGCCCGGGTACGTGACCGTCCGACTCGCCGCAGTCGCTGGGTCACGCTGCCTCGCACCCTCCCCGTGGAGGGGCGCGGCCAGGTGCAGTAGGAATCCCGCGCAGCGCATAGTTCTTTTTTCTTTTCTTTCTGTTTTTTGGGCGTTGGGGTTCGAACACTGGACCTTGCGCTTGCGAGGCAGGCGCGGTGCCACTGAGCTTTACCCTGCCCTAGTGCGCAGTTATTTAAGAGCCGGAGCTGGCCTCGTGTCTTTGAGCTCGGCCTTTGGTCTGGGCGAGGTCCCTGCACCTGCCTGGCCCCGCACCCAGCACGAGTCCGTGCGGCGCCGACAGATCTGGAGTGAACCAATGTCACCTTCCGAGAGCCTACGACACTCCCGAGAGCCGCGTGCGCAGGTGGCCTGTCGCGGTCTGGAAATGCAGCAGCGCTTTGGAGAGCAGCCCTTCTCCCTGGTTCCCCAAGGTGAGCGCATGGGAAGGTAAACAAGTTTCCTAAACTTATCTTGATCCCCCTTGGGCAGCCTGGCTAAGTGGCCCTGAAGGATATTCAGTAGCTATTCTGCGTCCCATCTCATTACAGCAGAGCCATTCATGTAGTTCAGGCCAGACCTGAACTCACTATGTAGCCCGGGCTGGCTTCCAACTCGAGGGGATCCTCCTGTTTCAGCCTCCTGAGTGCTAGGATTACAGGTGGGCACCACCATGCCGGACTAGGAAGCAAGGGAAATTTACTGGGGAGATTATGGAGTCAGATGCTTTCCTGGGAAAAGGCAGTTAAGAGATCAAGCTTCTTCATACAGCACATGTTTAAAAATAGGGGACAAGACCACCACAGGGTAGAGAATTTAGCACAGTTAACAGTTTACTCTGCATCCCTAGGGAGGGGTTGGTGTCTGGCTGATTTAAACCTGTTCCTTGTAGTCTTCTCTGAAGGACCTTATCTGTTTTTGTTTTTGTTTTGAGACAGGGCCTCACTATGTAGTTGAGACTGACCTGGAACTCACAGCAATCCCAATCCGCCTGCCTCAGCTGCCAGAGTGCTGGGATTACAGACCTGCACCACCACACCCAGCTTGAAGGACCTTATCTGAAACTGAGACAACTAAGGGATATTAACTGTCCTCAGGGGATGCCACAGCTTCTTGTCAGTTCTGGTAATTAACCCTAAAAATTCCTACCTAGTAGCTAATATGTCTTGCTGGGAAAGGGACTGTGCTCCCCAGAGGCATACAGGAATTTCACTTTTACTGTAGGTAAGCACATGTGTGGTTTTGCTTGTTCTTAGCAAAATTGTTTCTCCAAAAGAAAATATTGTTTGCCAAAAACTGAAATTTAGGTCTCTTCTGTCCTCTCCTGGATGTCAGATTTTCCTGTGGAGTTTGGTACTGATGTTTATTTCCCCTTGAAGCCACATAAGGAAAAATATGTGTGTAGCAGAAAATAGTATCTGTCACTCTGGGGAAGCCACCCTTTTTCAGTGAGGTGGGATGGAGAGCCATGGGCCGGAGCTGACCTGTCCCCTCCCTTGTGTCCTCTGTGGAAAGACCATTGAGGCCTGCGCAGGCCCTTGCCGTTCTTTAGTGGCCTGGGGTTGCTATCTGCCTCATAAAGCAGTGGAGGAGTTGTCCTTTGGGAAGACAAAGTTGTCTTCGCCTCTGAAAAAGCCTCCTACATAGTTGACCTTGGCATTTGCTGGGAATATGGCATTCTGTGGGTTGGAGTTTTCAGTTAAGGTCAAGAGAGAATACAGTTATTGTAACAAACCCACATTGGATGGTTATCTCCAGAATTCATTGCTGTTAACTGACTTGGGGCTTCATGACAGACATAGAAGTAGATTTCCTAATTAAAAGGAAAAAAGGCTGGGCTGGGGATTTAGCTCAGTGGTGCCACCGCCTGCCTCAAAAGCACAAGGACCAAAGTTCGATCCCTGATATCAAACAAAAAGTTGATTGTGGTGGTATGTGCCTGTAATCCCGGCACTCGGGAAGTTGAGGCATGCCAAGAGTTTGAGACCAGTCTCCTACATAAGGAGAGACCCTGTCTCCAAAAAAAAAAAAAAAACTTTTGGGGTGTTAGGAATTGAACCCAGGGCCTCATGCCTGCTACATGTTATGCTACTGAGCTCTGTTCCTATCCCCTAGCACAAATTCTTTGTTGATCATATGTTTTGGCCAGACTCACAAGATAGAAATTAAAATTTTAAACTGCTTATGATCGCAAGTCTCTAAGTTCATTTTTGTGGGTTGGACTGAGTTTTTGTTTTTATTAGTAGTACACTAGATTAGAACAACATACATTATATTTGTGTGTGTGTGTGTGTGTGTGTGTGTAGACAGTCATTACACATAAAATTTTTTGGACACTTCTTGACTTCCAGTCAATAGTACTGATTGAATATAATTACATAGCTAAGCTGAAAATCAATGCAAATCACCGATCTATGCCTATTTTTTTATTTGTATTGAGATAATCAGAAAACTTAGTCACATAAAAAGTCATGAAAAATGGCTTTTTAAATTGTGTGTTTGTGCTATCGTGTATTATTTTCAACTTGGTCAAGCATCGGAGCACAATCAGTCCTTCCCTCTGAACTAGAAAGGGGGAAGACAGTGAGGGCTAAAGAAAGAGAATAGAGACCTGGGTAATCTTAAACTACTTGGAGGGGCTGGGAGGTCAGTGCCTCAGAGTGGGCAAAGAAAGATGCTCTGGGCTAGCCAGCATTTATTGGGTACACAATAACTGGAGGGAGTATCAGGTGATTTAGGGCTCTGGAAGGCAGTGATAATCTTAACTTGATGAGGGCAGTAAGAAGAGCATTCTTATAATAGTAGGTGGGACAAGATAACAGGCTGATAAAGAATTTGTCCTACCCCCAGGTGTGAAATCTTTCTCTCTTTTTTTTTTTGTTTTGTTTTGTTTTGTTTTGTTTTTGAGGCAGGGTCTCACTATGTAGCCCAGGCTGGTCTCGAACTCACAGCTATCCTCCTGCGTCAGCCTCCCGAGTGCTAGGATTACAGGCATGCACCGCCACACCCGGCTTCTCTTTTTTTATTACTACTCCATTCTCAAAGAACCAGTATGTCTTCAGTTGATGTATTCTTGCCCTTGAGCATCACAGTATCACAGGACCTTGAGACCAGAACAGAGTTATGTTCCCTCATGCCAAAGCTGGCTCGTGGGCAAGGTGACATTGGGTCTTAGACAGCTAGAGTCATAATTTAATTATGAAATAATTTTTCTCCAAAAATTATGTAAAATGACTCTCAGTAGTCAAGCTGGGTATTACCCAGAATTCCCTTCCATAGAATATAAGTCTAGTTAAAGAAACTATATACCAAAAAGAAACTTATACCAGATGGGGAGGCAGAAGTGAAGCAGACAGTTGCTATGTACTTTTTCTGTTCTTGAATTCACTGTGTAATCCAGATTAGCCTCAAACTCATGGCAATCCTCCTGCCTCAGCCTCGCGAGTACTGGGATTACAGGTGTAGGCCACCATACCCGGCTGGGCCATTTGTGAAATTTCTAGTCATGTAAGGTAATAAACAAGCACGTGGGAAGTGATGGGTTGCAGCTTGTACTCACTCTCCTTTGTTCTCCCTCCAGGACTTCTTCCTATCCCATGGCCCAAGCAAGAGTTTCACACCAGCCTACAGATTGTAGACCCACAGAGGCAACAGCTTCTCAAACCACCAAGACTTCCAGCCCTTTGTCCTCAACTTGAAAGAGTCTCCTGAGCTCCTTTGTCTTCCCCTCTGTTGCCAGGCGTAGATTCACTGCCACAGTCAAGCAGTAAACCATCTCATCCCATCGTTCTGAGCAACTCAGTGCCCTCGGCAGCCAGTCCCTCTCCTCCACCACCAGTCTTGGGTAGCCATTGCTCCTCTGTCACTGTGGTTTTGCCTTTTCTCGAATTGCAGGTGAATGAAGAAACTGCGTGGTCTAGGGTTTCTTCGGGCTTCTACCCCTTAGCATAATGCTTCTGGGATTCAGTTACCTTGTTTTATTAGTAGTTTGTTTGTTTTGTTGCTTAGTATTTCCTTATATGGGTGCCCTGGTATTTGTGTGTCCATTCGATGTTTGATTACATTCAGGCTGCTGTGAATGTTTGTGCAAAAGTCTTTGGGGGAAGCACACAGAAGATGGACTGCCAGGTTGCATGTAAATGTGTATCAAACCATTTAGGAAACTGTTTTCCAAAGTAGTCCCACTTTGCATTCCTATCAACAGTATATGTTTTGGTCGTTCGTATCCTTCCAGATACTGGCATACCTTCTACTGTGCTTTCTTATACTTCGTGCATACTGCATTTTGTACAAGTTGAAGCTTTGTGGCAGCCCTGTGTCAAGCAAGTCTATCTGTGTAGTTTTTTCAGCACCTTTGATGATTGTTAGCATTTTTTAGCAATA